AAATTAGCTTTGATGATGCAAAGCTTATCTGATGTAGCAACTCTTTTCCACATTGCATGCCCGGGGAGGGAAGGGATGGCAATTTTTACTACTTGTGCTTATCCTAATCCAAAAGGCCTTAATAAAGCGACGCCGTGAAAGGAGCACTTTGTGTGTACCTTGAGGCTCCAACTGACGCCATGCATTCCCTCTCGCACTCTCACAAAGTGTATGACGTTTTGGATAATGACATGGTCCAGCTACTGCATCTCAAGTACAAAAATTGAATCGTGTGATAGCCAGATTTCCACTAAGATAGTATTTTTACTAGGAGTAAAAAAAAAATAGAAGAAGAAAAAAGGACATAACACAAATATATGGTAGCATGCATGACACTAGTTCTATCTATCTACACCAGATCGCCAAATTTAAAACTACTTGCTTGCTACTCTATTTATATACATACAAAATACAAAAGAAAAAGAAGACATGTACTCAAGATGTATGGTAGTAGTAGCAGCAGCTCTAGATGTAGTTGGATTAATTGTGCTTCTTTTGACGTACGCGTGTCGCGATAACGGAGCTTGGTGCTTATCCTAATCTAATCCGAGGGGATTAAGTTAAAAGAAAGGGGAGGAGAGGCGTGACAGCAGGATCATCTCCGACCCTGGCCTCCCCGGCGCCCTTGCAGCTTGTACTGTTGCTGCGCAACTTGTGCATGGACCACCATTAGCCTAGCCACACACTACAGGAATCTGTGCCCATTTTATATATGAGCACGCAGCTGTCTGTCATTAGGAGCTTTATATGGGCTGTTGCCACTAAACTAATCATTCACTTCGTGTTGCCCTTTGCTCTCTCATCTCATGTATGCTAGCTGCCCGGCCTATATATATATATCCCCATCCAGCTTATATATATCTCCCCATCCAGCTTAGCTAAAGTACTCCTACACTACACTACTAATAGCTAGGACTAATAATAATAAGAGTTTTCAACTTGGAGATGTACCAGAACTTAATAAACTACCCAAGATGTTACTGTGTATTTTTTTTTCATGGGGTTGGGGTGTTTGTCATCACAACGCAGCAAGTAAAATTTTGGGGTACCCACACAGTGCAACACCGTTAGTTGAAAACCTCATATTATCCATAGTACATGAACCATTTTTAGTTTGCACAGTGGGTCCTCAACTCAAATCTGTCTTTTTCCTTTATGTTCAGAAGTAGGAATAGAAAATAATCCGGTTGAAGCCTCGTTCGGTCACTGGGGAATCATTCCCTGCCGAACAGTTTCTTCACAAATTTGTATAGCGCCGGAACCGTTCCAGACGCAAAACAGCCCGTTCCGGAAGAACCGAACGGAGCCTTAGCCGTCGGAGGCTGATAAAAAAAATTCAATTAAGAAATTAAGATTCTTTCAGGTGATTGGACGGTAATGGATGCTTTGGATATATATATATAGTTCGCAAAATGAAAATTTGTGGATGTCACATCGGATGTTTCGAGGATGTCGGAAGGGGTTTTCGGATACTAATAAAAAAAACTAATTACATAGCTCGCCTGAAAACTGCGAGACGAATTTATTAAGCCTAATTAATCCATCATTAGCGCATGTTAGTTACTGTAGCACTTATGGCTGATCATGAACTAATTAGTCTTAAAACATTCGTCTCGCGATTTCCAACCAAACTGTGCAATTAGTTTTTTTTTGTCTATATTTAATACTCCATGCATGTGCCGCAAGATTCGATGTGATAGTTTAGGGTGAAAATTTTTGGGAACTAAACCAGGCCTCAGCATATATGCATGTATGTATATCATATGAATCCGACCAGACAAGCCATCCCTCGAAGCAAAACAAAGTTTCTCCGTTGTGCAGGGTTTGACATCTGATCCGGCCGATCCAGCAGTACGGATGATCGGATCTAAATTTTTTTTCCATGGAACTAACTCTATATTTTTCTAACACAAATTAAGGGCCTCAAGGAAAAGGCCATTCATGTTCTTCCATGATAATCCACAAGTCGACATAGCAAGTAGAATTTTGGGGTACCCACATTGCATGACCGTTAGTTGCAATTGCAACCCTCATATTATCCATACATAAACCATTTTTAACTTGAACACAGTAGGTCCTCAACTCAAATCTGTCCTTTTCGTTTTTTGCTCAGAAGTAGGAGTAGAAAAATAACCCAGTTTAGCCGTCGGAGGCTGATTAAAAAAACATTTTCAGTTAAGAAATTAAGATTCTTTCAAGTGATTGGACGCTAAATGGATGCTTTGGATATATACAAGCATATATGTATCATATGATCCGGCCAGACAAAGCCATGCATCTGAAGCAATGCAAAACAAAGGTTCCGTTCGTTATGTATGGTTTGACATCTCATCCGATCCAGCCGTACGGATGATTGGATCTTAATAATTTTTTCATGGAGTATTAGTTTTATTCACTAACTCTGTATTTTTCTAATACAAATTAAGGGCCTCAAGGAAAAGGCCATTATTCATGTCCCATGGATGCTTTATAATCGACAAGTCGACGATTAATAAATTCTTCACTGTCCTCAAGTTGAATGTGTCATACTAATCGTACCTAAACCAACTCTCCCTTTCTGCTGTTAATAAGCAAGCTAATAAGGCCATGTTTGGATTCAAGGCGGTAGTGGTTAGCTGCTAATAATTAGTTCTTTAAATCCAAACAGGTCTGACTAATAGTTAGCTGAATACTCAACAGTCAATTACTTCACTAGTTGAACCAAAGTAGTTATTAATAGTTATTGTGACCTACGGAGTATTAGCTAGCTAACTATAGTAGCTAATAGATCCAAACAAGCCCTAAATAACTTGAATGTTGTATGATCTCGAAGACAAATGCATGCTTCCATGCTCACCATTGTTCAAGCCCCATGTACTTTCAAATTTAATCCGGTTTTCTATTAATTTACATATTTGTTGAAGATTTTCAATGGAGGATACACAGATCTATCTGTGGAGGATTTTAAAAAAATGCAACATCCTGTAAACATGCATGTACTTTGTTTTCTTTTTTGCCCTGCATATGCATATAAAGTGCCTCAAGTTTCACAGGAGGGTTATTGTGACTATAACAAGATGATGGACCCAGTGACAGGTTGGATATTTGAAAGTATGCATTGATTGCAATAGCGTCCTGTCCATGCATATTGTATTGCATGAAAGTACATCTACAAATGAAACCGCATATATATACTACAGGTGTTATGCTGTGATTTTGTTTGTTCTGTGTAAACTGAGATACCCTGTACATACATCCTACTGAATTTTTTGAGAAATAAAGGAATTACTTGCTCACCTCACCTACCCAGCAGCCCCTATGCATGCGACACATACGCTAGCTAGCAAAGTAGCAAACGAACCTTGGTCTCCCACAAACTAACCTCCAGAGTCCTAAATCCTACCTAAAGCACAGCTGCCAGAAGGTAAAAGTATGCCTCACCAGCAACACACCAAAGCATCTTATAATAATAATCTGAAGCGGGGATCCATATATGCATGACTCCTACACACTACCTATTGATCGATCGAATATGCTGCAATTCTTTTATGCTGCCAAAGATGCATGATGCACCAGATTAAAGTTAAATAGGAACAGTTAGGTTTGTTTTAGATTTTCACCATGCATGCTGCATTAATATTTTATTTAAATCTAGGCTACTATTTTTTGCTGACAATCTTTGATACATGCATGTTTGTTAAAATTCATGTGGTTTGAAGAAATATTACACTGCAAATTAATAAGTGAATGAAATGTTCTTTCTTTTGGATAAGCACCACTCAAGGATTGCATCTCTTAGGTGTAGCATGACAATAAAGGTATAAGATAAAAGTATATTGCACATTCGGTTAGGACGCACTAAGTGATCTACGTACGTGGAAGTACTAATTAAGAAAACATCTTTGGAAAACTACATTTGTGTGGTCCATATGCATATGAAACCATATATGATGATGAGGTTATATTTTCTCATGGGTTCACCAGTCAACTTGTGTGTAGTTTTGCAAGGGTGGCCATAGCATTTTCATGTTCTTGTCCTGCTACTTTTCTTTTAAATGGTGCTTCATGCGCCTGTGTACACATACAAACATATTACATATGTCTACCAACTTGGAATAAGGCAAGTGAAAATAGATATATAATCCACCCTGACATCAGCCTCTCCCTACAAGTCTTCTCCCCATATATAACAGAGGGAAGACACACCAAACCTTCAAGGAAAAGTATCAAAAGAGAATTACAAGAGGGAGGAGGAGGGGATGGAGGGGGCAAGTCTCCTTTGATTTCGTTCTTGCCTCTTTGCCTCTCTCGAGGTCAGCTCTTGGTGGATTCAGCAAAACACATGGTAAAAGTTTCTCGATGATCTTTGCTCTTGCTTGCTTAATTCATCAATTATTCGGTCCAATCGAACTTTAGTGTTCTCTTCTCGTTCAGACTCATATGCATGCTCCCATCTTTGATGAAAACATATGCTGCTTGGATCTTTGACACATGGCGGTCGGCTAGCTAGCTAATATGTTTCTCTTATATTTTGTTTTGCATCTGCAAAGGCGTAGAGCAGGGAGCAAGAGATTTCCTTCAAGAATCTAGAAGAAGTCGATCGAGGATACGTCGAGTCCGGCTGTTCTAAGAAGTAAGAAGCAGCTCGATTGTCGAAACCCTACTAGCAACTAGCAAGCTAGCTAGAAGAGAATTGAAGCTGGCGAACAGGTGGTGGGACGAGGGGCGGCTCGGCCTGCCGGAGCCATCCCTTGGCAAGAACCAAGAAGAAATGGCACCTTCCTCCAAGGACGGCGCCACGGAGCAGCCGACGAGCGGCGGGAGCGGCGACGACCGGGAGAACGGCACGGGCGAGCCCAAGGAAGGCGCGGTGGTGACGAGCAACCGGCGGCCCCGCGGGCGGCCGCCGCCGGGTCCAAAACAAGCCGAAGCCACCCATCTTCGTGACACGTGACAGCCCCAACGCGCTGCGCAGCCACGTGATGGAGGTGGCCGGCGGGGCCGACGTGGCCGAGTCCATCGCGCACTTCGCGCGCCGCAGGCAGCGCGGCGTGTGCGTGCTCAGCGGCGCGGGCACCGTCACCGACGTCGCTCTCCGCCAGCCCGCGGCCCCGGGCGCCGTGGTCGCGCTCCGCGGCCGCTTCGAGATCCTCTCGCTCACAGGAACGTTCCTGCCGGGCCCCGCGCCGCCGGGATCCACAGGGCTCACCGTGTACCTTGCGGGCGGGCAGGGGCAGGTCGTCGGCGGCAGCGTGGTCGGCACGCTCACCGCGGCGGGGCGCGTCATGGTGATGGCGTCCACGTTCGCCAACGCCACCTACGAGAGGCTGCCGCTGGACGACGCCGAGGAGGAGCCTGGGCAGGCGCCGCTGCTGCTGCCTCCCGGCGGCCCGGGCGGAGGGCCGCCGCTGATAATGGGCGGGATGGCCGCCGATCCCTCGGCGATGCCAATGTTTGGTGGTGGCGCCGGCGGCGTGCCGCCAAGCCTCATGCTAGGGGGCGGCGCCGCCTCCGGTGCGGGCCTGCAGCTCGGGCACGAGGGGCTTGCATGGGCTCATGCACGGCCACCGCCATACTAGGAGGGGATCTCCATGCCATGACCGAGGAATTGAAGTAGAAATGGAGGATCGTTCATCGCCGACAGCTCAAGGACGACGACTGCGTCTCATCAATCATCATATAGTTACTTCTAGCTAGAACTGAAGATCGAATTAAGCATGCTGCCAGGACAGGAGCTAATAAAAGGCTCTTCGATCAATTCTAGCTAATACAGTACTCTCTACTCTGCTAAGATGGTAATATAAACTGCTGCTATATTATACTACTACAACAAACTGCATGCATGTGACTGTGTGGCTGTGCCAAATGTCAGCACAAGATACGATCGAGCTTGCTGCTTGCATTGTTTCCTCATTGTGATGTTAATTTAATTAGATGCAGCATGATAAATAGATGATGGATGTTTATTATATACTGTATGTCTCTTTGATCTCTCTTGTGCAAAACTCTGCCGCTAAGATGATCAGCTCCACTATGCACTCATGTGAGATTTTTGTGTCGATTTTTATCACTTCAAATAATTGTGGTCTGATATGATGACAATATATACACACACACACACACACACACACACACACACACTGACAACGTCACACTGATGAAGTACAAAATGAAGCCTTTTGGTAAAGATATGATGAACTTCTATCTAGCTTAGTATTTTCAGTATATATATGGTATTTTTTGTGAATGGATGCATGCTTCAGCGATGATTATACTAGGTATCGCAAGGGGTTAATATACATAATAATGTCTGCCTATATATGCATACACACCCGTCAATATGTATGTATACTATAAATGGGGGTGTGTAGTTCGTTTGAAGAGTGACATTTGTATTTTTAAACTCTTCTAGCTTAATGCAAAAAATACACAAAACTATTGCGTATTCAAGAAAAAAATGGGGCTGTGTAGTACATGTTTTAACCATGCTTGTTATCACTTATCAGTGGCGAAGCTAGAATAAATTAGAGAAAAGTCCACTTAATTACCTTCTGGGTGTATAGACTTGTGTCATAGTGGTACATATATTGTGTAATTTTAGCTAAAGTCGCTGTTTTTATATTTTTGGGGGGGTGCACCCCCCTAAATACAATATAGCTTCAGCCCTGTGGTTGTTATATATGGTGCTCTACCGTTGTTTTAATTCATAGGTATTCTCTTCTATAGAAAGATTATTTCATGTCTTGATACATGCATGTCCCGGCAATAAGGAATCTATATATAGGGCTCAAATGCATTTCTTCTGTAGTGAACTTTGGCTTCGTGTATGCATTTGTTAGTTTAATTCCTGGAAGAGGTATATGTCACCATGCAGCCTTCTTTGTTTGATGAAAACACATCATCAGCGCTCAGTTTTGTAAATTAATGCTTTGGGGTCTACAGTGTTATATACACTGCTACTGATGCTAAATCTAGGGTATATAACATGTGCACTACTGAGGTATAGCTTCTCCTGGTTGTGTGATATAATAATTCGGGATAAGAAGGGGGGTCCTTTCATTTACAATGCAATAAAACCAACCAATGCAAACTCCTGCCGAAGAAAATAACAACCTTCACAAACTAAAAGAACAGCACACACTATATATGGCAGGGTTTCTTCATTATATGATATATACATGTCTATATCTGCTCTCAAAGGTTGCACAAATATGCCAACAATTAAACACGTACATACATATCGATATATGTATAGTCATAATAAAACAGATCAACGATTTATATGCTTGCTGTTAACTAATAACATGTACACTAGCACATGTGTTTATATTAATTAAATCACATTTAGGTTACAAATGTTTAATTCTTTGTAGGTATTTTATATGTTTTAGGGATGCAGGGGCGAGTTATCCGTGAACCCGCACATAGACTTAATTTTTATGGGTTATGTGGGTAACCTTTCTTTGTCGGATACCGAAAAAGGGTACCCTAAGCGAGAACCGAAAAAACTGCTTAGACCTTGCAAATATCAAAGCCAAAGGACAACCACGAGGTCTCGGCTGATTCTCCGATTCGCCCGAGGCCCGCTACCAAAAAGCCTCGGACGAAAAACCAGCTCTCCATCTCGCCGAGGCCCCTCGCCCGAGGCCCTGCCCGTAAGGCCTCGGACGGGTTACCGATTCTCCGATTCGCTCGAGGCCCCGCGCATAAGGCCTCGGACGAAGTACCGATTCTCCGACTCGCTCAAGGCCAGGTCGGCAACATCCTCGTCGCCTCCGTCTCGACCAACTTCTCTGACAAAACGTCACATCCAATTAACGCGTCCAACCACTCTCGCAATGTCAGCCACACGTCGGCGCAGTACAGCGGATTGACCGACGGGACGGGAGACAGGACTGGGCAGGGGTTACCGGCCATTGTGCCCATAACTGACGCCCGTACTGCACTGTACTACCTAACTCCTGCTCCAGGAACAACACGGCGTGGGGAGTCAAGTCCGGGTCACTATAGCCTCGGAATCAGTGTATAGGACCAACTGCTCCCTCCAAGCCTCGGCAATCCACTTCAGAGTCTCGGCAGCCTCAGGATTCGCGCCCGCCGAGCCCCCCACGATGGCTCGTCCTCGGCACCAACTGAGCCTTGGCTTTTTACACTGTCAACGCACAGCGACCAGCACGTCGTCGGCCATGCCCTGCGCCAAGCTATCATAGGAGCTCCCACGTCGCACAAGATCGGGTGTGACTGGCGCGCTGCTCCAGCGCATCAAGGACAAGACCGCTCCGTTTACCATGCCGCCACAGTAGCAAGCTACAGGGCTCAGACACGCCACCACCGCTCACAAGACGCTGCATAGCAAACACATGTATCACCCCTGTCCCCCTTCAACTATAAAAGGAGACCGGGGCCGTTTCTAGACACAGGAAGACAGACGAACTCACGCATAGGCTCACGTAGATTCAGACACACGCTCCCCTACTGCCTGAGAGCAACGTCTCAAGCAGCCCACACCGCTCCACACAGAGACCTGGGACTAGCTCCCTCACTCGCCCAGCTTATAACCCCCTACTACAAGCACTTCGGTGCAAGGAATACAAGATCGATCTCTCAGACTAGATGTAGGGCACCAATTGTCTGAACCAGTATAAACCTTGTGTCTCTTTGCATCACCATCCGGGATTAGGGGCAGGCAATTCAAATTCACTAGTTGGTTGAGAACCCCCCGGTCCAAAACACCGACAGTTGGCGCGCCAGGTAGGGGTGCTACTGCGTGTTAGCTTAATCGTCCCAACAAGTTCCAGATGGCAGACCCCATACGCCCACTACGTCTCGGCACGGTGATCTGGTTTGGGAGCCTAGAGTTCATGTCTCTAGGATGTGAATACGACCTAGTACTCCTCCCATCCAGAGCCCCTTTGGCCGACGACGACATCATCAGCACCACCAAAGAGCCCGGCCGTCGCTCTGTCCTGTCGTCCTTCGCCAGAACACGACGCGAGCGATAAACCACCACAACACCAAGACGAGCTCGAGGCGGCGCGCGCCCGCGCCGCCCGGTATCCCATGCTCAGGTCATGGTACAGAGTCCCTGGTTGGGGACCTGTCTAGCTTAAGCCTGGGCAGGGAAAAGACGCCGGTGACATGCAGCAACACCCCGTCATCAAGTTCCGCACCGCCACAGACGAACTCACGCATAGGCTCATGTAGATTCAGACACACGCTCCCCCGCTGCCTGAGAGCAACGTCTCAAGCAGCCCACACCGCTCCACGCAGAGACCTTGGACTAGCTCCCTCACTCGCCCAGCTTGTAACCCCCTACTACAAGCACTTCGATGCAAGGAATACAAGATCGATCTCTCAGACTAGATGTAGGGCACCAATTGCCTGAGCCAGTATAAACCTTGTGTCTCTTTGCATCACCATCCGGGATTAGGGGCACGCAGTTCAAATTCACTAGTTGGTTGAGGACCCCCCGGTCCAAAACACCAACTCCGGCGGAGCAGGGCCCGGAGATGGCACCATCCCCGTACCCCTTCGGGTTGAGAAATGCCTTCGCCACCTTTGCTTCCGTCTATGCTTCCGCTCACACGGAGCCCTCAGGACGCCACCAACGTTTCGCCCTTGACCTCTTCGCCACAACCTCGGCTCACACCCACACTGACTCCTCGGAGGAGGACGAGGCGTGGGTCGGAGCAGACTTCTCCGGACTTCACGACCCTCAAGCTATGCACCTCTTCTTGGCCGCGAGCGACTACTGCTTCGGCTACCCCTCGGAGTGCATATGCGCTACATGATTTGGCTCCACTTCATCGCCTCCAACAACGCAGCCGAGTACGAAGCTCTCGTCAATGGCTTGCAGATCGCCATCGAGCTTGGAGTGCGGCGTCTTGACGTACGGGGCGATTCGCAGCTCGTCATCGACCAAGTCACGAAGGAGTCGAACTGCCATGACCCCAAAATGGAGGCGTACTATAAATTGGAGCGTCACCTAGAAGATAAGTTTGACGGTCTCGAACTCAACCACATTGCACGAAAATTCAACGAGGCCACGGACGAACTAGCGAAGACGGCGTCGGCATGGGCCTCGGTCCCCCTGAACATATTCGCCAGAGACCTGCACAAGCCCTCGGTCATCTACGCCTCGACGGTAGAAGAGGGCCCACCGGTCGAGCCCACCACAGGGCCCGAGGCCCCCTCTGCCACCGAGACCCCAGTGGCCGAGCCCGAGGCCATGGAAATCGACGTAGGGCCTCCCGAGACCGATCAGGGTACGGACTGGTGAGTTCCGCTCCTTGATCGCCTTGTTCGAGGAGTGCTTCCTGCGGACAGGACCGAGGCCCAACGGCTTGCGCTATGAGCCAAAACTTACATCCTCAGCAATGGTGAGTTGTACAGGTGAAGCCCATCTGGCATCCTCCAACGATGCATCACCACCAAGGAAGGCCAAGCCCTACTTTGGGACTTGCACGTGTGAGCCTACGGGCACCATGCTACGCCTTGGACGCTCATCGGAAATGCCTTCCGCCAAGGATTCTACTGGCCAATGGCGATCGCTGATGCCACGAAGCTGGTACGCTCCTGC